CTTAACTCAGAGACGTGGTTGGCTGTGGTGCAGGGGTCTGTCTCTTCCTAGGCAGTGCGAAGAATCTCCAAGCTGCCCCGCCCCTAACCTCCCATCTCTACCCTACTCTCCTCCCTCTCTGTTTCCTCACCTCCTGGGGCGAGCAAGGAGCCCGAGGGAAGGCCTTGGGGATGACGGGTGGGCCCCTTGCTCTCCAGTCTCCAGGGTCCCTCCCATCTGAACTCCAGCCCAAGCGGAACTGACTGGACCCTTTCCCACCCTGAACTCACCTCTGAGAACTGGGACTGGGTGTCAGAGATGGACAAGCAGCTCCCTACAGATTTGTAGTGTGACCTCTGCTGCTCAGATGGCAGGGGGCCCAAGGAGGCTCCAGGATTTCACGGGCACCAGTGAGAGATGGGGTCACCGCCTCCTGGCCCCCTCCGCCCCTCTCCCAGAGGTGCGTCTGTTTCCCAGATCCCGAGGTGATGTGTCTCAACCTGATTCCAGTAGAAGGCGGGTAAGCAGAGTGGGACAGATGCTGAGAATCTCCGGGAGGGAGGATGGGGACTTTGATAGGATGGGGCTGGAGTCTAAGGCCCAGACTGGGATGTGACTGGGGTGTGTGTGTGTGTGTGTGTGTCAAAGTTGCCACATGAAACTCTCTCCTCTAGTCCTACCCGCTGTCTCTGAGCCTCCATCCCTAGAGGTGGGAGGCCCATGTTTGTTGAGAGAAGAGGATTGGACCAGAGGTTTTTCTGAGGTAGGCTTTCTGTATATCAGAGAGCTCAAATTGGAGAGGAGGGGGGGAGGGGTGGGCTCAGGGATCAGAGGGGGCGCAGTGGAAGGTGTCATGTCGGGGAGCAGCTGGGAAGAAGTCGAGAAAGTGGGATGGGGCCGAGCGTCCAGGGGAAGCCATGGACTCCTACCAGTCCTTGGGCGTCCACCCACAGACCTCTGTGGAGCCCTGCTGAGTGGTTCTTATCTCCACTTTCTACAGGGACTCTCAGGAGCTTCTCCAAGGCAGCTCTTTGGAGTGGTCCCTGGGAACCACGTGGTGGTGGGCGGGTCCACCTGCAGGGAGGCGGGACCAGGTGTGTGTCCCTCCTTGAGGCGCTGATTGGAGAACAGAGAACAGAGAGATCTCATGTAACTTTCTCCTTCCCCGGGAATTCTTTTGTGACCCTCAAGCACTCTGGGGTCCTTCTGACATCCCATCCCTTCAGACTCCCAAGAGTGAAAGGGCAGGTCGTCAAGAGGGCAGCCGCTGCCCTGCCCCTCTCCTGCCCTCAGGGTCCTAGAGAGGCTGCCTGGGCCAGCAGGCTGGAGAGCAAGAGACTGATGACGGATGTCCGTATGTCCGTGCTGCCCTCCCCTTCCTGTTCCATCATCATTCATGCATAAGCCGGCCTGCTTCTCTAGCATCCAGACATCAGGACACCCCTTCCTCCACCGCTCCCCCCCTGTCCCCAGTTAGGAGTGATGGAGGAGGAGGGGGAGAGTCCAACACCCCTCCCACCCTTTCTTGCTGCGAGACCACACAAGTTCAAGAAAATGACCAATGACAAAGGATCAGCGTCCATGGGGGTGACTTTATCGGGTTGTTCAGTGCAGTTCTGGGGGGCAAGCTACCTCCCGGCACCCCGCAGTCACCTCTCCCCAGATCGGTCAGGAGGAGATCACCTCCCCCCAAGGGATGGGTATTCAGGGAGCTCTTCAATATATCAAGAAGACACACAGACAGATGGGGTGTCGTCAAGGAAGGGGAGCAAGAAGCCCTGAACTGGGGGGTGTCCTCTAGGGGGTCCCAGGAGAGGAGTTGGGGGGGGCAGGAAGGTGCTGTGGGGGTGTGGCAGCTCTCCGTGGAGGTAGGAGGACAGAGGAGAAGAGAGGGGGCATCCACAAGGCCACACCTCAGCTTTCTGGTGGCACCCCCAGCTCAGTCCCCCCATTCTCCCACCACAGTTGGTTCCTCTATCCCCGCCCTGCGGCAGGTCCTGCCCGTCGTTCACACCCTCCTGGCCTCCGCACCTGTCCCTCTTTTCTGCCCAAAGGCCTCTTCACTGTTCAAGAGTCAGTGCAAAGACCTTCAGTGTGTTGGCTATGTTGAGGTTGCCCTCGGCGGGGCGGAGGCTCCCTCCTCGGTGCTCCACAACCCCCTCCTCCTCGCTGCTGGTTTGCACACAGACTCCTCGCCATCATTCTCTCCGGGAGGGTCTGCCGCCCCTCCAGGTCCGGGGACTCGGGAGCTTGGTGTGCGCTGGGTCTAGCACAGTCCAGGCACGATGGAGTTGGTCAAGGGATGCGAGATCAGTTGTTTAGGGGAGACAAAGGCAGGAGAGGGGGTTGGGGTGACGTAGCAGAGGGCTCAGGGCAAGGAGATGGCAGAGGGATAGGAGGGTGGGCTTTGGGGCTAGGAGGCCTGCTCCCTGACCATCAGATCACTGTGCTGAGAGTGGACGAGCCCTCCGAGCGAACGGGCAGTATCGCGGCCGGCTTCCGGGGACACCGGGCCTCATCTCGGTTCTGCCACAGGTAGTGGACCAGGTAGGCCACCACCAGCACGAGCCAGCCCCCCATGGTGACCAGCAGGGCCACGTCGGTGCTCCGCTGGGCTCCACCCGGCCCCGGCCCACACAGCTCTTCCTCCCCTGCCAATGGCAGGAACTCCTGTCCCACGAGGTCTGACCGCGCGCCGGGGCCACACACGATGCCTGTCCCGGTGCCCGGCAGGAGCCGCACCCTCCTGAGCACCTCCTGGAGGGCGCAGTCACAGTGCCACGGGTTGGCGGACAGGTTCACTTGGACCTGCAGCCCAATGAAGGCCTCCAGGGGCACCGATGCCAGCTGGTTGGCAGAGAGGTCGAGGTGGCGCAGCGTGCCCGCCAGGCCCTGGAAGGAGGCCCCTGAGAGGTGGGCAAGGACATTATGGGACAGATCCAGCTCCTCTAGGACAGGCAGGTGCTGGAAGGCACCGGCTGGCACTGATGCCAGCTGGTTGGCATCCAGGTAGAGCTTTCGGGTGTCGTTGGGAATGCCAGAGGGCACGGTGCTCAGCCCTGCCTGGCTGCAGCGGAACGTCTGCTCACCAGCCTCCTCTGCCCTGTAGCAGCCCTGGGGAGCTGACTGGGGGCTTGGCACAGTGCCCCATGTGCCTATCACAAACAGGATGGGCAGGAGGTGACTGTGTGGCGGGAGCGTGGCCATAGGTTGGCATCGTCTTGGAGTGGAGTAGGACCTGGAGAAGAAAAGGCCCCCCGAGAGGAAGCGTGAGCAAAGAGAATGCCACCCCCAAGTGGGTCTCCTCTCCCCAGCCCCCTCTCAGGCATCTCTTAGGCTGGGCCCCTTTGGGGCTTTCTCAGGCAAAAGTGCCCCCTTGGGTTCCTGCCCTAGGACCCCCCAGGAGGACCCTTCATAAAGGGATCCTCTGGTGCTGAGACCCCTCTGGGTCTTGACCTTGACCTGTGGACCAAGGTCCTGTCGGCCATTCTGGGTCTGGGGCTTTAGTTAAGTTTCTGCCTCTCAGGGCTTGAGGTCTCTCGTCGGAATAGTCCCCTTCCCACAGCGTTCCTGGCCCAGACAGGCCGAGGGGACAAAGAGATCAGAAGGGCAGTCACTAGACAGGATGCAACTTAGCCCCCAGCCTCTATGTCTCTCGTCCCCTTTCCTGGGGCACCTGCCCTCTGCCTGCCCCAGCATGGCCCTCCCTCATCCTCTCCCCCTCCTGTCAGCCTCTCACCCCTGATGATGAAGGGAGAGCCCTCTCCCGGAAGTATCCACCTTGACGCTCGCCTCAGGAGACCCGCGTCCTCCTCCAGAGACCTGCCTGCTGGGCTGCTGGACGTTGGGGCTCAGGAGGGTTGGGTTTCCTGGCATACGACTCTGGGCCCCGGTGTCAGATAGCTGAGCCGTGGCCTGGCCAGCGATGCCAAGGGAGGGCAGATGCCAGTATCTGATATCGGTCGTGGGGAGACCATGCTGACCCATTTTCTCTCAAGACCCTGGTGTGGCGTCTTCCCTGGTCCCTCTCTAAGCCGGCCTGAGGCCGACACACCGCAATGCCTCTCCCTTCAGCACAGCTTGCTGCGCGCGCCGCCGGAGGATCTGTGCTTGACAGGCCTTGGGGGGCGGGGGACAGAACTGGGCTGGCTCTGTGCCATATCATTGCCTTCTGTGACCTTGCTCCCCCAACTCCAGGACCCACTCCACTCTCCTCTGCTCCTCCATGGCGCCCGTGGTGCCTTCTTCAATGGGAACAAACCTTCACCTTCTTCACCCCACCTTTCTCTTGGGTGGCCAGTACTCTCGCTGCCAGGGGGCGCTGTGGTCCAATGTTTGTTCTTGGCTGTTCTGGGAGATACTCACCCACACACTCACTCACTCACTCACTAACACACTCATTCACTCACTCACTCACTTACACACTCACTCACTCACTCACACACTCACTCACTCACTCACACACTCACACACTCAGTCACACACACTCACTCACTCACTCACCCACACACTCATTCACACACATACTCACTCACACACATACTCAGTCATTCACTCACTCACTCATTCATTCACTCACTCACCCACACACTCACTCACTAACATTCACTCACTTACATACTCACACACTAACTCACTCACTCACTCATCCACACACTCATTCACTCACTCACTCACTCACTCACAACTCATTCATTCATTCACTCACTCAATCATTCATCCACTTACATATTGACTCACTCACTCATTCACTCACATTCATTCACTCACTCACTCACCCCCTCATACACTCACTCACTCACTCACACACACTCACTCATTCACGCACACACTCACACACAGCCCAGGACCAGAAGGGCTTCTTCAAGGGCCCTGAAGTCTGAGTTTACCACTGTCCCTGTTTCTGGCGGCTCATTTTCATGGACTCCCAAGGTGCCAGGGGGTAAGAGGAGGGTCCTGGAGACGAAGATGTCTTATTTCTCAGGCCTCCTGATCACACGTTGCCACGCATTGGCAGACTGTTCCCTGACCCGCACCGAGCAGTGGGAAGAAAGGGTTCGAAGCCAGAAGGGGTGACTTTGGGCACACCAATCACCCCTCTGAGCCCTCCAGTCTGTACGTGCAAATGCAGAACCTGGTGCCCTTTGCAGTTGAGGGTTGCGTGAGGAGACGATGGCGAAAAGCCTGATGATTATCTTCTTGAACAGGCTTTGACCTTCCTGTAAGAGTGCAGCACCCGGGCCAGCTTTTACGGATTCTTTTGAACATTTTACTGTGTTTTGGGTGAAAGTTTACAAAGCAAATTAGCTTCCGATTCAATAATTTATATGAAAACATTTCCAAAGCATTCCTTGCTACCCCCACGATATGTTGGCATGCTCCCACTCCCACACTGCTCTTCCATCTCCACCCCTCTGTCTCCCTGCCCTCCCTTGCCTTCTGAGCTTGGTTTGGGGCACGTATTGGTTCTGTGGAGTCGATTGCTCTGAGGAGCACATCCCTGTGATTTTTCCTTTCATTAGGCCAATGGCGCAGGACTGTGCAATAGGTTGTCCTGTCGGTACTGGGTCACGATGGGTCAGCACTGACTCACTGGCACCAAACAATAACAACAGCAACAAGCTGCAAGGTGGACTTGGGAGTGGCTGCAGTCCTGCGTTAAAGGTTGTCTTAGGGCAATCGTCTCCTGGATTTCCCTAGTGCTTATCAGTCCAGTGAGGCAAATGTGATTGGTGTTGCACACTTTCATCCTGGGCTAGCTGGGGCCTTCTCTGTGCACCTGGTCAGAACGGCTGGTAGTGGTAACAGGGCACCGTCTAGTGCTTCTGGTCTCAAGCTGGAGGGGGCTGTGGTGCACGTCAGGCTTTCATCCGGTGGCCTCACTGCATCCCCGAGGCGCTGATTTCCTGTGCTCTTCTCTGCTCCAGACGGAAAGAGATAAACAGCTGTCACGCAGCTGACTGCTTGTCAGCCTTTCATGCCCCAGACGCTATTTGCCAACGTGTGCCGTGCATTGTTTTGATGAACTATGTTATGCCCATTCATCTGGCTGCCCTGAGACAGGTCAGGTGTTTCCTTTCTGTGCTCAGTAGGAGGAGGACTGACAAGGAATGGTGATGCTAACACTCCTGTACGTGATTCCTTCCTTCCTTACCTTATCCTCTCCAGCACCCTTGACTTTTAGCCCCAACCACCCACTGCCTTGGCCACCGCATAACTCAGTCTCCTGTGGCACCTCACCGTCCTACCTGTGCCCTTGACAGTTTGGTGCTGGGACTAAGCATCTCAAGGGATGACGGGACTGGAATAACTCTTTGAGACGATTTCTATCTAGTCCGACCCTCTGAGAGTATAAACTGAGGCCTAGGGAAGGAATATCACCCGAGTCACACAGTGAGTCCGTGGCCTGACTGATTTGTTCTCTATCTGCCTCTTATGCCCCGCCAGTCCTCTTCTCTGCTTCCGCCTTCATGCCGCCCTTGCCAGGACCCTGCATTTCTTGTCCTTTGGCCCTTCAGGACACCCTCACCATTGCATCAAACTCTGCATCGTGCCCAGTAGGTCAGAGTGGAAGAGGAGAAGGGAGACCGGGGTGTCCCACAGGCCCCAGAGGACTTTCCTAAGAGAGGCGGAAGTCACAGGCTCTGCAGAAGCTTCTGAGAAGGAACACATGCCGGTACGGAGATGCTGGGGGCCCAGGGCTGGAACATGTCGTTGGCGGGGCTTTGTGCAAAATAAAAATTCTGGGCCCCTGGTAGGAAAACTGTTAAGAATGTTAAGAGGGCGACAGCAGGGCATTACACATTAAGTTCACAGCCCATCTACCTGTGGGGCCCCGGGTGACTGACTGCACAGGGCACACGCTGATGAAGTTAGCACTAGAGTGACCTTTGGACAAGCTGGTTCAAGAGCGTGATGGAGGCCAGACCCAGACATCCTGAATGATGTCACCGGGGATGTACAAAACACTGACTCATTCTCAGGACATCAGCGGGGTCATTTCTCAGACTCGTGTGTCCACGAAGTCAGATAAGACAGAGAGCCGCTACTCGCAAGCCGGAGAGGACAGCAACGTTGTTTTCTTTTTTAAAACTATTTCTTTTCGTTGTTGAGAATATTCACCACAAGGTGTACGCGATTCAATAGTTTCTTCACGTGCACATTCAGCAGCACATTGTACAATCATCCGTACTCTCTGTTTTTGGAGTGTTTCTGCTCCATTCACGGGAACTCGCTGTGTGGTGGCTTTTCTATCCAGTCTTCTGAGTGGCTGTGCCCTGAATCCCCTACAGGGAGTCCTCACCCGAGAGCACTGCTCCAGGCAGAATTCTCCATGAGTGAAGCTGTCCTATTGTTTGGTTTAAAGATGACTTCTGGGAGACATTTGTGGCTGATGGGTTTAAACGGTATCTCAGGGCAATCGTTCTGTGAGTGGTCCAATGTCAATGACTCCAGGAAGTTTAGATTCCAGGCGGATTTGAAGTTCTGTCCCACATTTCTCCCTTTGGATGGATCGGGATTCTCCTGTAGAGTCTTGCACAGAACCACTCAGCGACAGAAGCCCGGCACCATCCAGTTCTTCAGGAGGAGAAGCAAAAATGTTCTCAGTATGTTGCGAATTTAGCTAGCAGGGCTTTGAACCGGTTCACATAGGTTCAGGCACGGTGGGTGAAGAGGACTCGTAACAGAGCTGAGGCTGTAAGGTCTTGGTTTACCATAATGAGAACTGGGGTGGGGAAATTACAGTCAAAGGCCTGGGCAAGCTGTCCATTAGCTAGAGTTTGGCTTCCCTGCAAGAGCAGTGTTTGTGTAGAGTTCCGAAGAGTTGCCAGGAGTTAGCAGAGGGGAAGAGGCCACAGTTCACAGGCCAAGGGCCAGTCTGAGGCATTCAGGGAAATGCAGGCAGAGGGCTCTTGTGCTGCGTGGCTGGCGAAGCAGCCCGTGGAGGGGATCCTTCATTTGTCCACCCAGAGCGCCCTCCGTGTCCCAGGGCTGGATGCGAGCAGAAACACAACACCCTCTCACCCCCAGGGGAAGACTCACACAGATACTTCCAGCCACTGGCAGCCTGAAGGGTGCCTCTCACTGAGCTACTTGCCGGGACCAGAGGAACCCAGAGGAGGAAGCAATGGAGTCTGTCTGGACAGTTGGAGAAGGCTTTGTGGAGAGAGCGAGAGTGGAGCAAGGTCTCAAGGCACGGCGAGGAGTTTGCAGATGGAAAAGGATCCAGGGAAAGCACTGGC